AAAAAGGTTTAAGGAAGTCCGTGTTAATTGAAAGAATCAATATTGATAATGTTTTTTTTTGGAAGAGAGACTTTATTTTCTAATTAAAATTTATTGGGGTGACAATGGTCAACAAAACTACATAGGTTTCAAGTGTACGATTCTATAATACATCATCTATATATTGCATTATGTCTTCACCACCAAGAGTCAGTTCTCCTTCCATCAGCATGTATCTGACCCTCTTTACACTCTTCTACTATCCCTTTTCCCCTCTTACCCTCTGGTAACCACTAAACTGCTTTCTGTGTCTATAAGTCTTTGTTTCTTTGTCTGTCTTGCTCCTTTGCTGCTTTCAGTTTTATATCCCACATATGAGTGAAGTCACATGGTTCTCAACTTTTTCTACTTATTTCACTTAGCATAATAATCTCAAGATCCATCCATGTTCTCACAAATGGCAGTATTTCATCTTTCCTTATGGCAAAGTAGTATTCCATTGTGTATACGCATATATACCACATCTTCTTTATCCAATCATCTATCGACACTTTGGTTGTTTCTATGTCTTGGCCACCACAAATAGTGCTGCAATGAACATTATTAAATCCGTAAAGATACATGTGCTCCAATATTAATAATTTAACAAAATTCTGCCTGTGGTGTTCTAGCAATACGATAAAAATATCAATTAAATATGACTGACATCATGAACCTAAAGAAAATTACTTTCTGGGTTATAACTGTCACATAGAAACCTAGCATCTTTAAATATTAAAATGACCACTTTATAAAATTTATTGACATGCTATCAATAAGCCAATGTTTTTCAAATGGCATCCACAAAATTCTTTCCTTCCACTTCCAAAGTCAAATCAGACAATCACAATAACAGTCTGAGAGAGTAACTGACAGGTTGACTGATTACTCAGAAAAACCTTTAAAGGGACTCTGACACGTGGTATGAGATACAACTCCACAAGCTTTGTCTAAATAATGTAAATACACAGTTTCCTTACCCATTAAAAAAAAAAAAGATAACACTTGCACTATTTAACTTGACAGGGCTATTTTAGAAATCAAATGAGGCAGGAGAAGCTAACATTTCTAGAGTGCACAGTATCTGACAGGCTATTCTTACCCTTTTATGTGGATTACCTCATTTAATCCATAGAATACCCTAGGTAACAGGTACTATTATTAGCCATTTTAAAGATAAAGAAACAGGCACACAGAAGTTAGGTAATTTGTTCAAGGAAACTCAGCTATAAAGTGGCAAAGCCCAGAATCAAACCCATTTATTTTGACTCCAGATCCGACTAGTGTACACTGAGGGATACAAAAGACACAAAGCCCCCCAAAATGTTGGCGGTAATTCTAGAATCTAGAATCTATTTCTCTTATCTTTTTTAGAAGATCAACCCAGAGTCACCATCAGATGGTCAGGAAAAAAACATTTGGGTATTTCAGGTCAACATTTCCAAAGGAAAAACATCCTGAAAGAGGATTCTAAATCATCTCTAGACAAAATAATGAAATTTAGAACAAAACGAGGGGAGGGAATAAGGACAGACGGTCCTGACAAGGCTAAGATCATAAAAACTCAGGTAACTGGGAAGCATAACTGGGNTACAAATAGCAAATACTCAAATTTTTACGGAAATAGAAAACAAAGTCAGAAAGTGAAAAAAGAACCGAAAAATCAGCATGATTTCATCGCTTCACAGTACAAGGCCTTGTGCTAGATCGTCTCACTTAAATCTCAAAACAGACGGCTAATTATTGCTTACGTTTTACAGAAGAAGAGATATTAATAGATGTTCAGGGATATGCAGTGAAACTAGGGCCAAAGGGACAGGACTACAGTCAAAGCCCAGACTCTGACACATCACGTGTGTGCAGTTTTATCAGATCTGCTTTAAAAGAGCGAAATGAAAGCCCACATAGAAAACCATGCAATGGAAGTAGTCTCATATTTTCCTACTTTATTCACTTTAATTTTTAGATTTAAAATGAAAGCTTTAGATTAAAAAGCAAGCACAACTCTTTCTGCAGTTGTTTAATGGTCTTCACTCTCTTCATCTCCCTCCACTGACCAAGGGCTCAGAACAAGTCCTGGCAGCTCTCTTGGTGTCTCATGACAGGTTATAGCTTCTCTGAGGGTAAATTCCACCTTGTTACACAGGCCCCCAAGACCCACAGTGCTGACAGTCTTCTCCTGTACTGCTTCACTCAGGAACTACGTCAACACTCTCATCGCAAATCCTTATGTGGGTTTAATGTCAAGTGGTGACTACACTTCAGGACTTCTTTATTGTGTATTCTGTCCTGTCAGTTGATGTGAAGTACAGCTGGCTTTTGTTATAATGAATGAACTTCCAGGCACTAAAGAGCACATCATTAACTGAATCAAGTTTTACGTTAATGTGATGGGTAGGGCAGCACCATCTGTACACAGGACATGCAAAAACCTTGAAAAAAAATATCCTGGTACATTAAAAGTCTAATCTAATACGTAATGGCACCAGAAATGTAAACATTAAAATGTTTTAAATATATAGCAGTCTAGGTGCATTTGTGTGATCAAGTCAATGACTGTAACTAGTAAAAACTGCATATGAAATGATAGACATAAATGGTCCTAAATATAGACACTGCATTTTTCTTAAAGAAATATAGCAAAATGTTATAAGGACACCATTAAACATGATGTGAATTTTTTTCTAACAGAATTTGTATACAATATTTTTAATGTTTGATAATGAGCCATAATTGAAAACAATTACAACATGTTCTATGGATAATGTAAATAACATTATGTTCTAGAAAAAAGTTTGCATGAAGATGATGGAGGCTAGTTCATTTTGCCATGGTCTGCCTAACATGTTTTTCTGAATTAGCTGAATGTTTAATGTTAAAAACCAGTTCTAAGGAAACAACCACACAGCTTAATGCATTCAATAATCATGTATTTAGTACCTACTAAGTACTGGGTAGGGTTATCCAGCGCTAAGGGTTACGAGCTAAGAGCAGGTCTTGTTTCCTCACTGTGCTCCAGTGGTGGGCAAAAACCCATGTTCAACTATCTGCAGCCCAATGGGAGACGTGCTGGGTAGGGAGNCAAAATCAAATTCCTCAGAATTTTGAACAGCTCATCTGCTGAGGTCTCTGTGTTTGAAACACACTGGCCTTGTGTTTCTCTGAGTTTCTTTGTAAATTATCTTCCCTAGCTTGATCCTTTTTATACACTACACAATTTAACACATTGACAACAGGGCATTTAAATTGTCTAAATGCATGTTCCCAAGGTTTAAACCATTGAAATCAACTTTTATACTGTATTTCTTTAAAAGTTTATAACAAATTCGCTGACTATTTTTGTGAACTGAAACTTTCAGGAAATACTCATCAAAGACTCTAGTAGTGCCTGAGGGTGTGATACCTCTGGAAACATTCCCCCTTGTGGAGTGGCACTAAGCAGAACTTGCAGATGTACCGAGTTTCACTTCTTTTTTTGTGGGCAGCACAAACATGGCAACTCCTAGCAGGATATTTTCTTTTAACCCGTTCACTTCCAAAAATTTTCTCTAGCACATGTTTGCACATATCACCTGAAAGTCTCCCGGGGGGGGGTCCTCATGAGGCACATGAGGGGTTTGGGCTGATGTTCCTGAGCGTGCTGCGTCTGTGTCTGTGTCTGAGTCTGCCTCCACCTTACCTGTAGCCCAGTCTTTTGCCACTTGTAGCAGAAATTCTTCGTATCTCATTTTTGATGTAGGATTCAGTTTTTGATAGATTCGAAAAGAATTGAAAATATAAATTGCAGCTTATAAGCCAAAATGCAACTTGCTTTGGCCACTTCACTGTTTTGCTCAAGAGAAAATAAGACAAGTACTGATCTGCCCTATCAACACCCTTCATGAACATATACGGAAAAATACAAATAGGTTTTTTCTTTACTCCTTCATCTCTCCACGGAACATCAACCATTGTTGAATCGTGAATTGTGGAACTCATGTTGACAACACGAGTATCTCCCCAGGATTGAAGAACAATTTCACCCTTTCTCCTGAATGTGGTTTCGCCACATTTCAGAGACTGTGATTCGTTTTTCATTTCTGGAGGGAAGACCCCTGTTCGTTCCGATTGTTCCACATACTCTAGCTTGTCTGGAAAGGAGAGTTTCAGCAATTGTCACATGATTGTAATAGTTGTCTTGGTAGACATGGTAATTTTGATCAAGATAAGGTTCCAAAGGAGTGAAAATAGTTTCCTGTAATTTTTTACCTTCACCAGCGTAAATTTTTAAATTCAAGATATAGCCTGAGGTGCTTTCAGTGACCATACAAACAAGTAAGCCATACTTTATAAGTTTCCCTGGGTTATATGTTCGTATATGAAGCCTACCCCTCCAAGGAATCATTNATGATGTAAGCTGGCACGTGGTGAGAGAAGGGGGCTACATGTCAAGAACCTGAGCTTAGCCTCTGGGCCTGGGAGTGGTCCCCAATGGGCAACTGGCAAGAAAATGGTAACCTCAGTCCTACAGCCCCAAGGAAGTTAATTCTGCCAACAGCCAATGAGCTTGAGGAGGACCCTGTTACAGATAAGATCACAGCCTGGAAGACAACTTAACTTCAGTCTTGTGAGATTGAGTAGAGAACCCAGCCAACCTGGACCCAGACTGCTGACCAAAGGAAACTCTGAGATAATAAATTTGAGTCATTTTAAGCTGCCAAGTTAGTGCTAATTTGTTACACAGTAATAAGAACTAATATAATAGTTTAAAAGTATTATCCTCCTTTCTGTTTGTACCACTTCAAAAACAGTTAATCAAGTGATAGAATTTTAGCATGAGTATTTTCCTCAAAGGGTAGAAAGAGCTGGAAGCCATCAAAAGCAAAAGCAGCACTTATAACACAATTACAGCTAAGCTGATTCTATTCTTCAGGCATGGCTAAATTAAACTCCATAATCTGCTTACAATTCTGACATCAAAGGTCAAGTGACCACTACAGTACCTCTGTCCTCCAGTGCGTTACCAGCAAGGTTAATCGTGTGGAGTCCTGAGCTGGGATTATGTGACAGAGCACTGGCCAGTTTCTGTGCAAATTCTCTGGAAGTAAACAAAACAATACGATCAAATAACACAAAATACAGAACTGCTCAAATAAAACACTTAAAGCTAAAACAGCTAGAGTGAAATCTAAAAAGAGAGAGAAAGAAGCTTTCTTTACAATATTAAACTATATATCATGCATTTGTTAACAGCCAATCTATTTTACACAAGTATATATTATCATTTGAGAATCTATGAAGTCACAGCCAGAATATGGTTAATTTTTATTAGCTAAAACCTCATTCAGAAGCAAAAAAATATATTATTACCTCATTAAAGACACATTTTCAGGATGCTACAAATAGTACAAGTTCTCCCCTCTATAACTTAAAAAAAAAAAAAATCCTGACTTGAACCTGCTTTTCATGAAAGCTGTCACAGGCTATTCACGTTATACCTTACTCCTCATTTCATGCATTACTCAGGAATGCAAACCTGATTGCTCTAATTNCCTGTTAGTTGATTGTTGCAGAAGTTCATTGTTGTTGAAATGTAAACACCACCAAATTTGTTCAAATCTATTATGGCTCATAAGTTTCCTGAAAATAGGAGTATCTAAAAATGGATCAGAGTGGCTCAGTTGGTTAAGAGTTTGCTTAAGAGCATGAGCTCTGAGCAACAGGGTTGCTGGTTTGATTCCCACATGGGTCAGTGAGCTTCGCCTGAGCTGTGTCCAAGCTCAGCTGCCGCCAAGCTGTCAACAGGTGGGGCAGGATGGCTCAGCTGGTGAGAGCACGTGCTCCTAATGACAAGATTGCCTGTTGGATGGTGGGCTATGCCCACCTGTGGCTGGGACTGAACTCGGCACCTTAGGCTAGGCTGCTGCCCGGATGGCTCAGTGGATAGAGCGTACACTCTTAACAACAAGGTTGCTGGTTCAACTCCCGCATGGAAAAAAAAAAATGGATCTGTAGACCAATAATCCTTTAGTTTATCTTTCCTAACTTGCCCCATTAGAATAATTGAAAAAATTTTTTCTCATTTCTGCTACAGTGACATCTGACCATTTCAACCCCTTAGAACCAGTAACATACTTTTCCTGATTTTGTAAGCAATATAGATTCGTTTCCTCACACGACATATCAAAGAATCTGTCTCCAAGAAAGAGTCCTGTTACTTGCGATACTTTCATCAGGTCAGAGGGAATTTGTTTCACCTCTGGGTTTCCGGTAAATGGCCCTAATTTGGTGTTTTATCTGTTTTTACCCATGTTGAAACCACCGAATCTAGTGTGTCATCGTCATCGCCACTTTCATTTGCGCTTTGTTCACTGTAACTGGGTAAAGGATGCACAATTTTGTTTTGCCTATTTCCAATAATAGAAGAGTCACTATCATTTTCACTGTCACTATCAGCATAGTCAGGAACATCAGATAATGTGTCCGCCAACAATTCCGCTGAAATTTCATCTTCTGTAAGATATTTTTTCCCGTAAGAACTACGTCTTTCCGTCATGAGTGTAAAGTGATTGAAATCTGAATGCTGACTAAATGCAGAACAGAGCAACAGAGGAAAATACAGAGCTGTTTGTTCTCTATATTTATCACAGATCATTAACTCAGAGTGAGGTCACGTTTCTATAAATATTCGTCAGCAGGACCATTTGGAGAAAAGCTCCCTGTATTGCGTAGTTAAGTGTATAGTGCATGGAAACCAAGCGTGTGTTAAAAACACAGATTTGCATCATCTGTCTTGCACAGCTATAAATGTATAGATGCAAATCTGCATCACCGGTCCACAATGTGTTAACTACAAACACCTCCCTCGTGCTTTCTATCATTTTCAAACATAAAAATCATTAACAATTTTTCCTTAGACTGAAGTTTGTATAAATATTTTAGACTCAGTTGGATTTCTTGTGGAATTTCCATCCAGGAGCAGAAAAGCTACCAATGATCTTCAGTATTTTGCCTGAATTAAAAAACAAATAAATGAACAAAAACCTATAAGGAATTTTTGTTCAAGAGCGGAAATACAGGTGCCAGGAGTTGTCTAAGAGCACAGGAAATAAAGCAAGAAATGAGTCAACAGGGGAAGAAATAAGGAAGGTTTAGCTTGAGAAAATATTTTCAGGACTGTCACAAATTGAGTGTGTGAGTGGAAACAATACTGGAGAGTCAGNTGTTTTAAATGCATTGATCCATACAGTCTTCACAATAACCCAGGAAGAAGGACTATCATCAACATCATTTTACAGATGAAGACCCCCAAGGCACAGAGAGGTCAGAGAGCTGCCCATGGTCACAAAGTTAGTCCGTGCAGAGCCAGGTTTCACACCCAGACACCGTGACTCATGAGCTCCTTGTATAACTACTGTCTAACTACTCACTGAAGAGTAATCCACTTTCCATATGTCAAGAGTCTTCAACCTAAGCTACAGGGAAGTCCAGGGTTTTCAGATCAGAGATTGCAAACCCTTTTCATCACATTCAACCAAACTCTCAGTTTCTAATTTGAAAGTCAATATCAAGATGTATTCTGAAGTGATTTCTCCAATAATGAAGATTCTTGTTGCTTCGGACATCAAAAATAAATTGTTACTATTGGGGGACTATTTAAAGAAAGGTAAAAGGCAAAAACAAAGAAGTCTAAATCGCTTGTCAAATTCTTTGCTACATTAGATTCTAGATAATCTAATGAATTAGCAGTTCTTACCTCATGTTTCTTATCTGTATGACTTCGTAAGAATTTACTTTTACAGCTATTATTTTCAGGCCAGATTTCCCTCCCTACTCCCCTTTTCTTGCCTGCCTCCTCCCTAAAATTATAAAGCCACTGTAATAGACAGTGTGAAATACCCCAGAAAAGTGTTAAAGAATAAAAATAATTGACAGATTTGAAGGATGTCTAGCAAGCCCCATAATCTACAAGGTGGGAAAAGCACAGAGGTAGAGAGCAATATTCCAGTGAACAACATCATGATTATAGGTAGTATATCTACACACCACAGGAGTGAAGGTTCTCCCTAATAAATCTTAACAAACATTCAAAGGCTTAAAGGAGGTGTTTCTTGCAAGAATGCAGTTTAGCTGCTCTACATGCTTCCTACATGCACACAATGGAATATGGAAAGGCTTGTAAAACTTGGAGCCACAGCAGTACCTTCCTGACATACTCATTTGATTGCCTCTCTGGGAATAATTTAGACTTTACTCCTTTATATCGAGTTTGAAAATGGGAGGCAGAGAGCTTTAAAAAGTTTTAAATGTCATGGATTAGCTATTCCTCCCTGATATCCTCATTTATATAGAAATATATCCTCTATGTCCTTAAGTCAATAGTTAGACCACTCACCAGCTCTATGAAGGGTGTGACAACATGAAACACCTCGCAAAGGAGGACATTTCCAGATGTTTAAGAGAGTGGTCTCTAAGTTCTTTTTATCATTCCCTCCTAAGTGAAAACTATTTTGAGCACATACCTTCACAAAATCTGTGTTTTCCCATAAATCATATGAATGTACTAGTGTAACAATATATTAGACTCAGTATAAAACATATAAACACAAATAAAATGGATGACCAAAATATAAACATAAAACAAATTCTATTATTTTTGTGACATTCCCCCAACATATCATTAATTTGTTAACCACAGGGTATATGTCTCACCCAAGTTGGGGACGAACGTTTTACCGAATTATATACAGAAAATTTTGAATGGAAACAGAAGCTAATGCTACTCACACCTGATTCCACACTCCAAGCAACATTTCTTCCTTTTTAAATGAGAGCAGGCATAAAGAGATGGAGCTTAGATTCGGAAAGAATTGCACACCAGTGACCTTCGGACAACCTGGACAAAAATTAATCCACACTCAACCCTTTTCCTGAAAGTATCAGGCTCAACAATGTCACCTTGATGAGTATGAAATATGACAACACAAAAACATGAGTCTGAAGGGAATGCACTGCTGGCTGGGATCTCATGAGCCCAGTTTAAACTCAGTGATGCATGTCATTGAGTCTTTAGAGGATTAATGAGATTAACTCTCTTGAAAAATCTTCCAGGAGCAAGAAAAATCAACATATTTAAAGCTATACACTCTCTTAGCCTCGGCACTACTACCTCTACCCTCATCTTTCCCTGTCAGTCCAAGTACAGTGTAATTATATTTTACACATGTCAGCTCACAGACCTATAAGAAATGTATAAAAAACACAGCCTTTTTCAAACCATGCCTCTTTTGGCCCACTGATACCTAAACCAGGGCAAATTTTAAGAATATACTTAAATAAATTTTGATAGCTATAAATAACAACTGAATGGGCATTTTCCGAGGACGTTCTAATTACTATTCTTCTCCAGAGACTAATCAGAAGGAGGTAGCATGGCCACTGTCATCCTTAGACCTGAATGTTTACTCAGCAACAACAGGGTCCCTGGTTCTGATAGAGCCTTCATTACTTACTTACTTACTTACTTAGTGAGTTGGTTATGAATTAATTAATCACAGCTTTCAAGTTGCTTATAAATCTACTTTGAAGAACGTGGGCAGACCCTAACGGTGCTAGTGAGGTGACAGAACATATAGAAGCAGGGAAGGTGCTCTACAGAGACAACAGCATGCTGGGGGACTCAGGATGAGGTGCATGGTTCTCCACTTCTGTTTATGAGGCTGTGTAGGTCATGTGATGTAGGCTACAGTACTGGGCGTATCTCTGAAGAAGAGCAGATCCCAGGCAAATGAGAGAGGTGGGAACTTTAGTAGGATCTCTGTGATCCTACTAATACCCTATCCCTGTGCAGCCCTCTAAGCCCATCTCCTATGTATGGTGATGGGGTCACACACATCAGAATATTGTTTCCCCACCCCTGTGCTCCAGATGACAAAGCTGACAAAATATTCAAAGTGGCGAAAAGCAAGGATCTACAACCAAAATTATTCTACCCAGCAAAACTATCATTTAGAATCAAAGGACAGATAAAGAGTTCCCAGACAAGAAAAAGCTAAAGCAGTTCATCACCACCAACCCAGTATTACAAGAAATGTTAAA